TGTTGGTGAAATATTTTTAAAAGATTTCTCAAGAACTACCAGGCTGATTTTAGCATTCTCACTACTATTAGATACGTCTTGATGAGCTCTACAACTTTTGTTAGAAGCTCAAGAGTGATTTACTTAATAAAAAAAGGTTTTAAAAGAAATCTCTCTACATTTTGCTTAATAGTAAAATTTACTTATAAAATTTGCAGATCCTCTCCAGATAATAGATAAATTGTCTATTAAATATACTACCAGTAATACAAAAGCCTAAATCCTATTTATGAAAACACAAAAGACTGTTTTTTATATAGATTTTTGAGAAATAACTAATTTTTGGCAAAACAAATGCTTGTTTTGATTATATAATATTATATCTGATCTTGAAATCTGATTGGTAGCTATCACTAACTTGTTATATATTCTGAACTTGTTTTTTATATATATCTCATAATTTACTAGACCAATTTTAATAATCTTACTATTATTAAAATTGCAATAACCTTCTCTACAACTTTTATTAAAAGCTCAAACAAGATTATTATAATAAAAAATTAATTTTTATTTAATTTTTTATTATTTTACTTATAATTTTATTAGTTAATTTGAAATATAAAATCATATAATTTAGCTATATTAACTAGCTGATTATATTATATTAGCTAGCTTAGCTATAGCTATCTCAGCTAGCTTAAATCACTAGCCTATTCTGGTAGCTATTATCAAAAATTTGTATTATTTTTCTACTTAGGTCTTGCCAAATTAGGTCTATTATTTTGGTTTATTAGATTTACACAATCATATAGCTTTATCTTAGGTTTGTATTATACAAATCAATTTTGTATATCTTTATATAATTTATATATTATATAAATATCTAATAATCAGGACCAAAGTGTTTGACAAGGCACTTCACCAATCAGGCTATCAGAGAAGTAACCAAAAGAAAAAGACCCAATCATGGGAACTAGAAGCAGGTCACAGCCCTTCTGGGCCATCTGGATTGGTAGTTTAAGATAGTTAGAGATATTGTAGACAGTCTGTAATATGTATACCAAGGTTTGGGTGAACTCTATAAGGGCAGAAGTATGTTGTGTAGTGGTAACCAGGCTATAGTACCCAATATTAAAACTAGAGTACAAGTGGCAGGTCTTGGCTTATACGTATTAACTGAAGACTAGGTTAGCCAGATTGTAGATATGGAAGGCTCTAGCAGGTTTGCCTCGAAGATAAAGGGCTCTTGGGGCAAAGAGCCTGCCTTAAAGTTCTAAGTCAGTATCTAAAACTAAGTACATCCAAATTAGATCCTCGCTTGATTAATAGTACTGTAAAAATTATAACTATAATCGAATAAAAGTACACGACCGAGAGATTACTTTAATATCAAAAAAAAAAAATAAATATCTAATAATATTCCAATCTTGTTGGTACTATATATATTGACAAAATTATTTTGAGGTCTAAAACCCAAAATTAAAATTTGAAGATAAAATTGTTTTAATCTATTTTACTTAAAAGATGAAATTTTTTAATATTTTTTTAAAGAGACGAAATTATAAAGAATATAACTACCTAAATTAGATTAGTTCTTGTATATAAAAAAATTTAATTTGCTTTAATTAGTGATTCACTAGTTAACTAGTAAGAGGTCATAGTATAATATGATACTATTTATATATAGAAATTAGAGTTTTACAAATATGAGCTGTATCATTCTAAAACTTTTTTTCATACTACAGTACTTGACAAAAGTTTTCTGCACCCAAAACTCAGTACAGAGATATAGTAGAGAAAAATTTTTTTTTTATTTAAAAGTATATTAAAATATATGAAAATTAATATATTGTATAATCATCTTCTGCTTCAATTAGGGTCTCTACACGATGCTTCATACTATTCATCAAAATAGCCACATATTCTTTTGGTAATTAATTCTATTTTTTTGTTATGTGTTTTCAGAGCACTAAGTTTACTAATTTTTTTTTTGCTAGGTTTATTTTCATAAGTTTTCAGATATTCTTAATTAGGGTTTGGTCAGGTGACATCAATGGTCAAAGAAAAACTTTGATTTCATTTTTCTCCTTCTATACCTTTGTGATTTTCAAACAGTGCTTTAGGTCATTGTCCTCTTGCAAAATCTAACTATCACAACCTTCACCAAAAAAATCCACAGCAGAAGGTAGAAGGGCTGTTTTGTACAGGATAGTCATATATTGCACATTAAGGTTATATGTAAAGCAGACTAACCTTCCAAAGCCAAAAGAAGAAAACATCCCTATACGTGAATCTTCAACAGATGCTTAACAGAATAGATTATTTTCTTTGCCCTAATGAACTGCTATATCTTTTTTAATCGCTAATTTAAGTGGAAGGTGCTTTCATCAGTAAATATCACAGAATTTCAGTCAAAATCCTTATATTTCTTCACCTACAAGAGCTGTTTTTTCTAATGCTTCTCTCTAAACAAAGGCTTAATGAGTTTTCTGTAATAACGAGCCCCACCTTCACCAAGGTGCTATTGAAAAGTGCATATGTGAATGTCTATATTTTGTTTTAGAAGCTTATAGCAGATTTCTGGTGCTAAGATATCTACGTTCTCTTTTGCTAACTTCAAAATCCAATTGTCTTGTCTCTGTGTGGTGACTCTTTGATGACCTAACCTTGGTTTGTCGCTTAGGTTTTTACTTTTTTCTATCTTTTTGCCTATTCTTATACTGTTTTTTCATTATAGCAAATCTTCTTTGCTGTCTTACATATTAAGAGTTTGGGGCCCTTAAGGTGCTGGTTAAAAATGCGATTTCATATCATTTATATAAAGGAAGAGACATATTTTTGATTAAAAATTGGTGTATAAGGAGCATGAGTATTTTTACTATATACAGTGCTCGAAGAAGTTTAGTACAATCTGCATATATGATGTACTATGCCCTGTATAAAATTTCATGCTTCTAAATATAAATTTTTAGAAATTACAGATATGGTAAAACTTTTGTTGAGCACTATAAGTTAACCACCTTTGGGCTTCTAATTAAAGTTGTAGAGCTCATCGAGATGAATCTAATAATAGTTAAATTATCAAAATCAGTCTTGTAGATTATAAGATATTTTCAAAAATATTTTACTAACTATGTAAAATTCTCTTTCAACAATAGTTAAAAGAGAATTTTATATAGTCAGCAAAATATTTTTTGAAGATATCTTGTGATTCACAAGGCTAATTTTGATAATTTAACTACTATTAGATTCATCTTGACAAGCTCTACGACTTCAATTAGAAGCCCAAAGGTGGTTAACTTAGTACAAAAAAAAAGTTTTAAAATGATGCAGCCCATATTTGCAAAACTCTAATTTCTATATATAAATCACATCACATTATACTATGACCTTTTACTGGTTGACTAGCGAATCACCAATTAATAGAGATGAAATAAAGTTTTTTTAAAAACTTATTTTAGTAGCATGTATAGTTGGTACTATCAAGGTTATAGAGATCTTGTTTCAACTAATCGTTAAAAGATAGAGCTATTATACAAGTAAAATATTTGAAATTTATTGTTAGTGAGTTTTGAATCTACTATCTAGCCAATATATCATTTAAAGGTATAACAACTTAACTACTTTACTAAGTTACTATATTCTATTTAACAAATTAATATCTGCTAACCAGAATATATTCTATATAGTTATAGTATTTATATAAAACTTAACTAATATAAAAAACTAAACTAATTATACTTTAGTCTATACTAAATTATAAAAATTATATAATATTTTATTGCTAGACTATATATCTTATATGTTTTATTATCTTAACATTAAATCTATATTTTATTCTAAAGTATAATAAATTATAAACTTTATATATTCTTATTATTTTTATTCATTTACTAGATATATAAATATACTATTTAAGTTTTTAATTGTATAGAACAATGTTTCTAAATAGAAAAAATTTTTATATTGCTATGTATTTATTGTAGTTATATTACAGAATCACCAAATATAAAAATAGTAAAAGATATTAATCTTTGATAGAAATAGTCAAATTTCTTACTTTTTATTAAAATTTTTATTTTGAAAATATAGTAACACTTGAAAAACTGCACTAAACTCACATTTTGAATTTAATTTAGAAGGTATAAAGATATTACTAGACATATGATAATGGATGACTACATAACAATAAATGGATAAAAGATTTTTCAAGTGAATGCTTATCTCATTTAGAACAATCTTTTATAGTATTTATAATTTAATCAGAGGTTTTAATTTATTTATAAAAATGTGTAGTTATAAGTAAAAAAAAATTGTTATTAAAATTTTAAATGGTGAAAGATCTTAAAAAAAGAACCTGTCAATTCTACATTGTGCAAGAAAAAGTTAGTATTGTTCGATATACTCTCTGTAAAGGCAATATTAAGGTCACTATAAAGTTTAGTTTAGATAAGTCTCAGGTTGGCTATTGGGTAATACAACTAAAAGATAAGCTAACTGAAATCGAATACAGCAAGTCATATCATCTTAAAGGTAGTAGAAGAAAATATTTTTTTCAAAAAAAGAAGTACAGCTTTATAGTTGTTAAGTGAAATATATAGTATAGTACTTGCCATAATGTATAGTAGCCTTAAGCTAAAAATATTAAAAATTGTTTCTAAAGCTGCTTTAAAGAGTAATGATCTTACAAAAAAACAACTCACAAGTAACTTCAAAGCCTCTTTAATATAGTTAAAGTGTTTTTTAAAATGCTATAATCTTACTTTATATTGAAAAACAAAAATATCACAAAAAATGCCTGCTGCTTTGAAGAACAGTTGTTTAATTTTCAATGATATGTAATTCGATTACATCGTATAAAGAACTATTTTCTAAGTAATATAGCAAATATTGACGAAACCTCTGTCTGGTTTGATATGTCTGGTAATCTCATGATAAAACATATTGGTGCTAAAACTGTTTATATTCATATAACTAGTAATGAGAAGAATTGATTTACTGTAGTTTTGACTTGTTTTGCTGATGAGCGAAAGCTCTTTCTGGTTATATTCAAAGGCCAAAGATAGGCTAAGATGAAACCTTCTTCTCCTCACGGTGTAATTGTTAATTTTTATGAAAAAGAATGAATAGATGAATCAGATATGTTAGCTTGGGCTGATAACTATAATGAAAATCATTCAGGTAGTCAGAAAAATAAACCTTCATTTTTAGTTTTTGACTCTTTCAAGGCACATATTTGTGATAATATTAAAGTAAAGCTTTAGAAAAGTAATAATAATCATGTTGTTATTTCTGAAGATCTGTGTGCCAGCTACTTGATATTTCTGTTAACCATCCTTTTAAAATAGTACTTTATAACTACTAGCATAAGTAGATAGTAAAAAGTGGTTCTGGCAAAACCAAGAAAGGAAATTTAAAATATGCAAAACTGCATATTATATGTGAGTAGGTGCTTTCTGCCTGAGCAGAAATTGATCCTAAGATTATTCAGTGTGCATTTCATAAATACTCTATTTCTAATACTATAGACAGGTCAAAAGATGATGAAATATATCATGATAAAATATTTTGCAGTAAAACTTATAAAGTTAATACTGAAATTCACAATATTCTGAATGAACAAGATAAAAATATTATTAAGATTGATTCTAGCAAATATGATAAAGATCAAGAATATTATGTTGAAAATCAAAAGCATCATAATATAGTAGTTAAAGAAAATAATGATGTTCTTGTTTTTACAAGTGAATAAAAAGTAGAGTATATTAATTGAAGCTTTTATGACTATCTAATAAAACTTAAAAGTAGCTTGGTAGTTGTAATATTGTGACTTTATTAAATGCTGTTTATAAAGTATAAAATATTAATAAAATTATAGTATCATCTGACTGATAATTAAAACCACGATTTTTATGTCATTTGATTCTTCTTTTTAAGAAGAATTAAAAAGCATAAAAATCATTACTCTAATTATTTAATTGTAGAAATTTAATAGCCAATTTTCGCTATAATACGTACATTTTTATTTTTAATTTATAGTTAGATTTAAAATTATTTTTGTGATCCTTTTTCATATGAACAGATTTTTTGATTTGGTAATCACAAGTAAAATTAAATTGTATGATTGTATTTAATTAGTCATTTCTTGATTTAACTATAATTTGTTTATAGATTGCTTATGAATCATTTATAAAACCATTTATAAAATCAAGCTATCTATACTAAATAGTAAATAGTTAATTAACATTATAAAATATTTTATCTGTACTTGCATATATACTATAAACCTTAATTATTTCAAGCTTAAAATTGTAAAGCCAGATGTTTGTATTAAGATACTTGAAACAACTAGTTGCTTATTTTTGGTTACTAAAAATTTTTTCAAAATTGGAAGGGTTGCTTATTTTTGGTAACTAAAAAATTTTTTATTTTTCTCATTTTTGATTTTCAAAATTGGGGTTGCTTATTTTTAGGGTTGCTTATTTTTGGTAATATATAGTAATTTTGTTTCTATATATAGAAATTTACTAAATATTTTTTAAAAATTATAAAATTTTTAAGATATATACAATTTGTTATGTTAAATAACTTTATTTAAAAAAAATTACTACTTTATAATTTAATATTTTGATTTTCATAATATGAAACTTTTAAACAGACCTAGCTAGTAGCTTTTTTTTTTAAATTTCATATATAAAAATTTTATAAAATTTTTTTTAAAAAGCCTATCTGGTTATTAAAATATATAAAAAATTTTTTTTACAAGATTTCAAATTTTGATCTGGTCAGATTATAAAAACTAATTAATTAATTTTGAATGACTTTAATAAAAAAATTAAGTTTATATATTACTATATTTAATAATTTAAATTACTATTAAACTATATTAAAATTTAGAAAACTGGTCAAATATAAAAATTTAAAATTTTATTTAAACTTAATTATTTTAAAAACTGTAGTATAAAATTTTTTAAACTTTTTTTTATTTAAAAGATATAGTTTTAAAAAATTTATAATTTAATTTTAGTTTAATAGTTTACTTATTTAGCTCTATATAAAATTTTAAAAAGTATCTATATTATTTTAGTAGATAACTGTATTTATAGTCTAAGTCAAGCTTATTTTTTAGCAGACTTCTTTCTATATTTAATATCCAAGTCAAAAAAGTTATTTTAATAATAATTAAACAAAAAAAAACTTAAATAGTACTAGAAAAAAATAAGAGAAGCAGCCTTTAAAGCACTTACTATAGTTAAAAATTTTGTAACAATATGACTTATTTTTCTCTTACTATTTTAATACTTACAAAACTAAAATTTTATTAAAAAATAGAAATTTTGGTTACTCTTATCAAAAGATTAGTATTGTTTACTGCTTTTATATTTAGTAACTCTGTGATATAATTACAACAAATACTGTATATAGCAATATAGAAAAATAAAAACTAATTATTTTGAGTTTTAAAAACAAGTATATATTTAATTTTTATTTTTATTTTTTAATATTAAGGTAACCACTTTGGGTCTGGCACGATTTATTAACTTCTCAGTTCAATTATCAGGATACCAAATAGGCATCCCTTGACTTTGTTATATCAATGAGAGTACAATTGGTTACACATATAACTTTAGTTATTGTCTAATTAAGAGCTCTGCTATATCTATTTCTATTAATAGTTACTACCAATTGCCATATCTAGAATCCACTTGTGGATCTCTTATTTAAACCTTCTGATTGACTTAGTGTTATCAGATGCTTTCTTCAAAAGAATTCCTGCTACTAAAGCCTCTTAGAACTACTTTATCCTTGTAGTAAACCTACCAGAGTGGTCTATGTCCTATATACATGTATCATCTGGGTTTTTTTGAAAATATATGCCCCAATCTGAGGACTAGAACTTGCGATCTTCTGCATTGCTACCATAATCTACTCCTTGCCTTTTATAAGGTTCGTTCCGATCCTGATATCCACTTCCAACCAGCCCTTATACTAATCTCTCCCCAACTACCAAACTACTTAGTCTGGAAGGGTTGTTGTATTTAGACTCTAAGTGTTTTCTGGTTTTACTTTCCTTGGTTCTGAATTCTGTAGCATTGGACCTTTTTCTCTGGTGCAATTCTGGTGCCAGGTTGGTAGACCCTTCTTGCCTCAGGGTTGTTCGTCCGGTTTTTTAGTCTCTGGTTCTGGTTTTCTGTAATATCATTGAAGATCTTTACTACATCTAGCTCAGATCTTGCTAAATGGGTTTCAAATATTCTGGTTTCTTAGATTTGGATCACCCTAAAGCTTCTATTTCAAGATAGTGGTACCAAGGTTACAGGTGATATACTTAACCAATTGTCAAATAAATATTACTATAATACAGACCTATTTTTTAAAAAATGTCTCCAGTGGGAATCGAACTCTAGACCTGCTATTTTGGAAGTAACAACTTAACAACTACTCTACGTTATCACATCCTTTAAATATATATTTAATAATTGTATATTATTATAATAAAAATTAATAAAAAGTTAAAACTTATACAACTCTCTCTAACAATTACTTGGACAACTATTTCTACTTAACTAAAGTTGAAAAACTCAAAGTTCTAATATCTAAACTACTCAAGTTTTCTTTTTAATTGCTATTAATAAAGTCTCTAATATGATATATCAAGGAGTAAGTATTAAAAAAGCAATTTATAGCTTGGGTCAAGCTTATTCTTTAGCAGACTATTCTCTATATTTGGTATTCAAGCCAAAAAAGTTATTCTAGTAGTAATTAAACAAAAAAAAACTTGAATAGTACTGAAAAGAAAAACAAAAAAAGTAGGTTTCAAAATATTTACTATAGTTAAAAACTTTATAACAATATAACTTATTTTTTCTTGCTATTTTAATACTCTTAAAATCAAAATTTTAACAAAAAGTGGAGGATTTGGCTACTTTCTATCAAAGATTAGTATTCTTTATTACTTTTATATTTAGTAACTCTGTGATATAACAACAACAAACATATAGCAATATAGAAAATAATTTATTCCTTATTTGAAAATATTGCTCTGTATACTGTAATATAATGTTGTTAAATTCTTGGTTAACAAGTTATTTTACTTAACTAAGTGTTCGAGTAGTTAAAAAATATGTTTAGAAACGTGACAAAAATCAGATGATTTTTTAGGGAGGAGAGGTAAAAAAAGTTAAAATTATATATAAGAACCTGATTTTTTTTTATATTAAGAGGGGGAGGGGGATAAGCCTTTGATAAAAAATAATCAAATAATAAATGACACTATCTTATATAATTTTATAACAGAAAATAGCTTATAAATAAAATAAAATATTGTTGACTTATTGCTAATGTGATATCAATAAAAAAAGGTTTATAATCAACAGTTTATAAACTAAAGATAGATTTTTATTAATTTAGATAATATTTCAAAAAATAATACAGATAAACTAATATTATAATTCAAGAAAAATAAAATAATTTTAAGAATAAGAATTAATCATTTTGTAACCGTAGGTTACTGTAACTAGTAACTAAGATCAGGTGTAATATGACTACTAAAACAACTTTTCTATAAGAATAAAACTATACAATTAAGGTTAGGGTTAGTGTGAGGCTAGGGTTTAGAGGCTATAGTTTATTAAAATTTAGCAAAGAAATTTTTTTGTTAGAACCTGAAAGGTAGTTTCCTATGTGAAATTTTAAGTTAGAAGCAATTTTTTGCAAAACGAACATTTATTTTGACTCTTTCCAAATGTGTAACATTATACCTGATCTTAGAATTTGATTGGTTGATTGGGATGCAGTTACAGTAACCACAGTTACAAATTTATTAACTCTAACTAAATTTAAAATATATATAGAGTTGAGTTAATAGAAATCAAGCAAATTTTTTTTAAATAAATTTTTTTAAAACTTTAAACAACAATAACTCAACAAGTATTTAATAAAATTAATAAAAATTTTTTTAAATAAATTCTATAAACTTATAGAATTTGTTTAACAAAAATTTTATTAAATTTGATCAAGTTTTGATTAAATTATAGTATATAAAGTTTTAAAAAATTTAATAAAAACAATTTGCTTGATTTCTATTAACTCATCCTATATATTTAATATTCCTGCTAGCTTATTTAACAAACTTCTATATAGAAAACAGATAACAATATTTCTAATAAACTTAATCTCTATATTAATCTATTAGACTTAATATATTTAATTACATTATATAATCTAGTTACTATATCAAGACTACTAACAATTATAATCTATAACAATACAGTATTTAAGATTTTTAAAAATAACTAATCTTCACAAATCTTGTAACAAATAGCAATACAAAATATAATATATATACAACTAACATTTTATACAGATAGATTAGTCAGTGATATTACTACAGAACAATATACAATTGATATTAGTTGAGTTCAAATAGCTAATAATATAATATTATATAGTTACTTTGCTATAATCTAACTTTGGTTTTTTTTTTATAAAGCTAAATTACTTACAATTCTCTTTGCAATTTGTATATATTTATAAAATAGTAATATTACTATTTATATTAATTCACAATTTATAATATCTAAATTTGTCAAACTTACTAAATATCTACTAAAACTAAACAAATAATATTTATATAATTATTGACCAATCTGACATATACTATTAAACTTTACCAAATCTTATAAACTAAAAACTAAACTTCAAAAAATTATAGTATATAATAATAATTTATTTAATGATATAGCTGATAGT